ACAGCCAGGACAACTGGGCCATAGGCCTGGGGCCCTGCGGGTGACTCGAGGACACTGGACTACCGACCGGCTTGAGGGAGATGTTCTGAGCCTTCTGCCAACCGCTGCATACTCGGATCCACAAAGCATATAATTTCCTCATAAAATTCAGTAACACACAACTGAAAATTTTAAGTGACCCATTCAAACCCATGACAGTTCTGTAAAATGAGATTAAAGTCATTTATAAAGCTTTAGAAACTAATTCCAGCCAGAGCACATGATAAAACCTCACAAATTGCTTCTCCTTTCTCTCGCCGATATGAGCTGCCGCCAAACTCAACATTCCACCCGCATACTTATCCAAAACCTTTGTTTTCTGGCTACAAATCATCACTGACTTACACCCTTCACTTTCTCTTAACTTCTATGGTCAGCACTAGCAATTGATGTTTTTTTAAGGAACATTTTTTCACAAATAATAACTTTGTTTTCCCTAATGATCAACTACCCAAAGGCATATCGATTTAAATTTGTGCCTCAGTGACAGGACGAGCTGGAGGTTCCGATCCAGTACTAGAAATGGCTAATGTTTGGTTGGTGAAGGCCCCACGGTCAGAGAAAGCTTCACTGTAGACGGGGTCCTGCACTCCACACAGGGTGGGTGGGGCTGGAGCGGGGGGAGAGAAGGGCATTCAGGCTGGAGGGTGGGGTCCCGCCATGGCACACGCTTGAGACGGGGTCACTGTTTGGGATGTGAGTGCCGGGAAAGGCAGTCCATGTGAGGTCTGGGTGGAGAAAGACTTGAGGAAAAGTGCTCGCACACAAGGACCAGGACTGCTGAGAGGCTGCACACCGCGGAGCCTCCTGCTCGTGGTGAGAAGGACACACTTGTCCTTCTCAGTGGAACTTGAACAGCCTGTCTCGTTTTGGAGAGGCTTGACTTTCTCTCTGACCACGTTGACAGACACTGGGAACGTGCAGTGGACTCCAGTCCTGTGGCTCGGACCCAGCATTCGACGTTCACCTCTGGGCTGGGCCAGGTGGAGAAGCTTCAGCTGGACCGGAGCTGTCCTCTGCAGAGCACCGACGCCCCAGCCGTGAGTCCGGCACCCTGGGACCCACCTCACTGTCCGGGCCGGCAGTGCACAGAGGGCCAGTCCAGCTGCATCCCGAGAGCGAGAGGCAGCTCAGGATCAAAGCATGTTGGCTTCCTGGCATGCCCCAAAATGAGTTCCAGAAACTGGAAGGAACCGATTTCCCTAGGTCTATGGAAAAATCTCGTGGAGCATTCTCCACCCTCTAAGAAAATAGGTTTCCATTTATATTTTCGTTTGATGAGCAGGGCCAATGTTTTAGGAAGGTTTCTGGTTACCCACTACATGAGCGTACGGTGCCTCTAAGGTGATGGCAACCACACCACTAGTTAATACTCTCTAGTTAATACTCGCTGGATACTCGCTAATCCATCACACTGGGTTAGATTCTCCACGCACATCGTCTAACCTCACAACCCTGCAGCCCAGGATTGTTATCTGAGTTTGGCAGGTGACTGAGTCACACTCAGGACAGCGAAGCACCCTGCCCAAGGTGAGGCAACCAGGAGGTGGCAGCCCCAGAGAAGTGGTGTGCTGGTGAAGGTCAACAACTGGTTCTCTGGGGGTGGGCGTGGGGGTGGCTCCCAACCTGTGCCATTTGATGATTTCAACCTGGCATCAACCAGCTCCCAAATTTCCTGGAAATTGAGGAGTCGTAGGAACCAGCTCCGAAGCACTGTGGGATCAAACCCCGAAAGTGAGAACATGGCCTTCCCCGGTCCCAGGTCCAGCCCTCAGGGCTCCCAGCTGAGGCCCTGACAATTCTAACCCAAGGAACTCACAGACACATAGTGGATATTTTGTACCCCAAGGTTTTGGAGTAATTTGTGCCACAACCATAGAACCTGGAGTTGACGTGGTCTCCCCGGGATAAGTGGCCTGGGTGGTTGGGAGAGGACGGGAGTAGGGGGCCGAGGGGAGAAGTGATTGGGAAGAGATGGGCCTCCAGCCAGAACACCAGCTTCCTACTAGAGCTCGAGCGAGGGCCCAGCAGACTATCTGCAGGAGCAACAGCGCTAATGTGAACACACATGGCGCTCTCTCAGACCCGGGTGATTTCTGCTGTATTCCAACAGCAAATCTGAGCATGGCCCACAGCTACACCTGAGATACAGGACTCGGGGGGCGCGTCAGGGCACCGCCTGTCCTGGAGGGCACACATCCGGGGCCATCGTCCTGGAGAGCCGACTGTCTGGAGAAGGAGGACAGGCCTGAGAACACCCAACATGTGAGGCCTGATCAGTGCTTTGAGAGACACAAAGAAAGCACTTTTAGGAAACAGAGAAGAAACAGCTGTGGGGGAGACTCAGGGAAGAAAAGGGGACACTTGACCTGATTCTTAAAGGATGGACAGGAGTCCTCCAGGGAAGGGAGGGGAGGAGGCCACTCCAGACAGAGGGGATCGTAAGAGACGCGCATCACGCGGTGTCCTGGGCGCGACAGTGCTCGTCCGGTGGCTGCCGCAGGGCCGCGCGGTAGGTACCTTGGTGTACCTGTTTCTGCCCTCAACCTAATGAGGATGCTGTTTTTCCCCCTGAAGCCGTGCAGCCAGGAGCCTTCCCAGGGTTCAGGTGGGGCATGACAGTGAAGCCGGGGGTTGAGGGAATGTGCTCAGGAGCCACGGCCATGGGCCCAGCACCAGGGAGAGTGGCGCTGCAGCAGGAGCAGCAGCAGCATTTTTGTTTGGCCTGTTAGAAAAGCCGTCCAGTTATTAACCGGAATCTCGGATGAGCTAAGAGCAAAGGCGAGCAGCGCCCAGGGGTCTTTGTGCAGGGGAGCAGTCTCCTCAGCAGAGACCAGCCTCAGGGAGGACGTCAGCCCACTCAGAAGATTAGCCAAGCCTGGATGGCTCGTCATCCTGCCCTGGCAAGGAGAACTCCCAGCGACAAGGGTGCCTGGCTGATGGCTAAGGAGGACTGGACTCTCGGGGCCGACGTCACCGACCCTGCGTGAGATCAGCGGTGTGCGGTGTCTCAGTGGGTTGACTGAACCATGTGCTGAGTGGAGCCCTCATTTCGAGGTGTCACGTGGGCGATCCCCAGTGCACATTTCTGGTCTCGATAAACCTACACGAAAGGCCGCTCTATATCGGCCCATTTACTCCCCAGAGGGGGCAGGCCTCTGCAGTTCATTGCAGAACCTTCCAGAGTAGGGGCAAACTTAAGAGCAGAGGCCTGACTGGGCTCTGTATTCCGTCTTCACCACCTTCAGCTGTATGGTTTTGGGAAAATTACTAAATCTCCCTCTGTAAAGTGGGGATGAAATAGCTCCGGCCTATTTTTATACTTATTTATTGTCCTAAGAATGAAATGACTTAACACATGCAAACCACCAAGACAGTGCCCGGGACACACACATCCATCCACGCTTGCCACTGCTGTGTTATTATCACTACCGTTGCTTTCTCAGAGGCGGTGTGTGAGGAGACGGAGCGTCAGGGAGGGAGGGAGGGAGGTGGCGGGTTGCTGTAGGAGGCTGGCACCTCTGGGATCAGATGTCTCCCCTCGGCATGCTGTGGGCGCCTGGGTTGGAGGGTCAGTGAGAAGAAGGGCCAGCCCCCATTGGCACTCCCAAGGGAGGCTGAGCGGACCGCCTGACGACCCCTCGGGTTAAAGGCTCCTCTGGGCACAGGAGCCCCAACGTCAACTCGCTCACAGCAAGCACAGAGGACCTCAGGCCGAGCACTCCATCCCAGTGGGTCCAAGTGCACTGTCCACGGACAGCCCTCCTTGAGCAGCCTGTCCTTCCTCCTTCTCTCCCACATGTGACACACAGCAAAGCGCCCCCTTATTCTGGAGCACGGCCCCAGCCTCGGAGCAGACGGGAAAAGTGTCTTCAGCCGCTTTGCCAGGTCTGTCCTGAGAAGAGTCAGCAAAACCCACTGGCTCACCCTCCCCGCCTCCCTCCCCTCCCGGGTCTGGCCCGCCATGGTCAGGACAGGTGACCGTGCTGACTTGGGCCCAGGCCACAGGGACGAAGCACGTCGGCACCTCCCCTGACCCCACCCAACATCTGTCGTTCCCGGATCACGACATCAGATTCTCATCAGGTCCTCTGAGAAGGGAGCACGGCAGACGAGGTTATTACAGCGGACGATCCCGATTTCCGATACAACACCCGCAGGAAACTGTGCTGAACTGCGGAAGTCGCAGCAAACAGATGGCGTAGCCTCGCCGCCCTTCATCCGGAGTCCTCACCATTTTCAAGAAATCGTAAGAGGCAGGAGGGGGCTGTCCAGTCTCTCACGGGGACGTTGGTGAGTGCGCCAGGCTTTTGGAGGGAGCGCAGAGGCCCAGACCCTCTGGGAAACGGAATCGAGGCTCGGGACAGGAGAGGGAGCAGCTCCTCCCTTCCTTGTCGCTTCCTTTCTTTTTGTTATAAAAACTGTGGAAAGGTACGACTGGAAAGGACCCTTGAGTGACCCTGATCCCACCTCCGTGTCACGGGCAGGATGAGGCCGGCCCCCAGAGAGCCTGTGACTGGCCCTTCACTTGTTCTCTCCTTCATCTGTTCATTGGTTCAGCAGCTTCTGCTGACCCCGGGTGTGCTGGCCACGTGCCCAGAACACGGGAAGACACCGGCCACGTCTACACGGACGCAGAGCTTAGTGCCCACAACACTTCAGGAAAACTGGTGCGAGAGAGTGTCCAGGCACGAGGACAGAGACTGTTCAGGGACGGGGACGTGCGGGGAAGAGGCTGAGCTGCCAGCCTCTCGTGAACGGTGAAAACGTGGCCATGCGGCCGGGCTCGCTGCCGCTTACCGAGCGCTGGAGAAACACGAGCCTCAGCTGGGTGCTCAGATGTGACAAGGGTTGAGGTTGTTATCTCGAGCCAGACTGGGCCCAACATCAGGAAGGAAACACGAAATTTGAGGTCATGCTTGCTTCCCACCTCCTCCTGTGCCCCCGTGTGCGGCCCTGAGGAAGCCGCCATGGCCGCGGAGCCGGTGGGCGTGCGTGATGCTGGTTTGAGCCTGGCCCCCGGCCATCTCCCTGCTTGGAAACACTGCGCAGACCCGTTCTTCAAGCGGGCAGAGGCCAGGCTGGGTCCTGTGAGCTGCCTGCTGGACGTCTCACCCGGACACGAGGGCCATCCCTGACCAGCGACCTGGTGAGGCCCTCAGTTGTCCGGAGGGATCCTGGGAGGCGGGACACAGCATAGCGCCCACAGGGAGCTGAGGGCATCGTGCACGTGGGAGCAGAATAGGCCGTCCAAATGTGCCTTTCACGTAAGGATGGTTTTAAAAACAGCAGACCCAGGAGGAGCTCTGCAAACGGAGTAGCAGTGAAACCTCCGCTGGTGAGGGTGTCTGTCTTCACCTCCCCAGACGCTCCTCAACAAATGTCGGCAGAATTAAATGTTTCAAGTTCCACCATCCTCCAGGCCCGGGAGGGCTCCGTGGCTGTGTGACCTGCGTCCCTCCCGGTGGCCTGCGGGGTTCCCAGACTGGCCTCCTGCAGGAGGCCTCATTTTGCCCGCCAGAGGAGACCTGAGTCCTCTGCAGGCTCCCGGAACCCTCAGGACCCGTGCCCCCACCACCTGTCCACCTGCCTTCTCCGGGGCTCCTCGCCCAGCCCACCGTCCCTTCACTGCGCTCAGCAAATCGGGCGTGTGTGGTGGACCAGAGGCTGCCTCTGAGTATTGTGTGTGTGCTTTCAACTTCTGTTCCGGGATTGCGCATGCGTGGGGCACACGGCCCGCTGTGGATCACAGGCACCTCCACCATGTAAAGATTCATTCTGTGCATTTCCACAGCCATCAGCACAGCAATAACAGACTTTTTAAAAAGCAGTGCTGTACAGCACATGCCTTATTTTGAAGACAATACAAATTCCTATGCTAACAGGGTGTTGAGTTTTCCTACATTTGTGATGGATCTGTGGACTACGGGTGAGTCTGACCCTTGTCCCCTGGAGTAAAAGGTGCTGAATGCCCCAAATATGGAGGAAACCCCCCAGGACAAGGTCTGGGGGAGCAGCGTGACCTTCACACTTTGGTGTTGCCACGGGCTTGTTACCTGCTCTCCGATTCTGTTGTATACCTGCCATGTTTTCCTTTTTAAACACAATCTTATGAGCTTATTGTGTCCAACCAGGATGAGAGCACTGGCTCTTCAGAGTGGCTCCCAGGAATTACGAGCCTCTGTCCCCTCGGCCTGTGAAGGGAGATTTTAAGGAGGCAGGTGTAGGGGCGAGGGAGGCGGAGGTGTGGGTCAGAAAGGCTTCCTGGAGACGGTGACATTTAGGATACGTCAGTGCTTCATTTTCTCTTCAGACCTGCGAGTAAAATGGCTTCTGAAATTTATCCTGATTAAAAAGAATTCTGAAAATGTTTAATAGTAAAGTAAATCCTCAGACTTCCGTGAGAATGTTCTATGGGAATACGTTCATTCCATGGTGAAACGGGTGACTTTTCTGACGTTTGGGGAAGTCAGTTCCTCGTGGAACACGATGTCGTGCAGTGACAGCGCCCCCTCGTGGTGGACACGGCTCAGCAGGCTTCCAGCAGGTTCTGGGTGGGGAGGGGGGGAATGAGTCCTTTTCACACAGGGTTTCAGGGCTGCTCAGGGGCCTCCCTCCCAGGGTTTCCTGTCCTTGTGGAGGGACGGACTGAATGGAGGGGAGAGAAGGGTGGACGAGCGCCCTGAGCATCGGGCCCGGGGAGGCGCCGCCTCTGGGCGGTGAGCAGAGGAGGACGAGGGCCGTCTTCAGGAGGAAGCGTCCAGTTTGTTCATTTCTGTGGGCCCTCAGCCAGAGGATCAGGTAACCGTGAGACGCCCAGGGAAGTCTGAGCAGGAACTTCGGGGCTGAGAGCTGGCGGGCCTCACAGCAGTGAGGGTCTGCAGGGCTGGGAGGGGCGTGCGCTCCGCCTGTTCCTTGTCCTGGCCTAGTGGAGCCTCTCTGGAACCCGGGAAGGGACAATCACAGAGCAGCCTGGGAAGCTCCTGGCAGGCTGACCCCGTCCCCACGTGTCCCTCTCGGGACCCTCTGGCAGAGAGAGAGAGAGCGCCTGGGAGTCCTCGGCTCCTGCAGGCTGACCCCGTCCCCACGTGTCCCTCTCGGGACCCTCTGGCAGACAGAGAGCGCCTGGGAGTCCTCGGCTCCTGCAGGCGGCCGCGGCGGGAGCTGTACCGTCCTGTCGCTCCTCCGTTCTCCCGTGGGCAGGGGCCATCACCCACAAAGGAGGGCCATGCCAGTGGCTGTGGAGACGGGTGAGGAGGTGCTGGTGAGGGCCAAGCTGGGTCCGGGAGGACGGCCGGGGCCTGGAGACGGGCTTCTCCTTGCTCTTCCGGGCAGCGCCCTTCCCTTGGGCCCCGTGTCAAACCAGGCGGTCCTGACCCAAGAGCACCAGCCAGGGCTCTGGGGCTGGGATCCTCCAAGTGAGCCTCACTCGCTCTCCTGAAACTTTTCTGGAAACCCCCAAATCTGCCAGGATTCAGCCCAGGGAGCAGACACTCGCATTCAGAGATGCCTCTTCCTTCTCCGTCCTCCAGAGGGGTCTGAGCGTGAGCCCTGAGTGTTTTCATTGATTCGCTCTGCTGCCGGTCACCATCGGTTAGTAAGAAAAACAGCCAGGGATGTTCTGTGAAGTCCGGATTCCCGCAGCATTCTTGGGGCCAGTGTCCCTCACTATAGATTGTGACTCTTCACAACAGTTTGTGGACACTGGGTGCTCCCTGAGTGGATCACCAAAGGGTGGTGTGAGTTCCCCTCCTGTTGGTGTAGGGCCTGCTGGGCAGCAGGGCAGCTGGAAGCACGTCCAACCCATCGGGCAATGAAGGGGACGCTCAGAGCCTGCTTGCCTCGAGAATAATACAGCAGGGCCAGCAGCCGTGTCCCCCGACAAACCCACCTGCTGCCGGTTTTGTAAGTGAAGCTTTGTTGGTACACGCCCGTTTGTCCATGGCTGTCTCCAGAGACAGAGACCACATCCCCCAAAAAGCCAAAAACATTTGCCGTCTGGCCCTTTATGGAGGCAGCCTGAAGAGGCCTGCTGACAGCGATAAGGACGTGAATGATTAAAGCACGTCCCCGCCAGGCTAGACCAACACAGGAGGCCTGGGACTCAGTCTCCCTGACAAGGGCCCCTGTCCACACAGGGGGGCGGTCGTCAGCCCTGACCCCGGACACTGAACCGGAGGTTCTCCACGTCTGTACCGAGAAATTAGCGCGTCTCCTTAATGTTCAGTCCTGAGGAGAACAAATAGTTACCTTTTGTCTCATTTGTACATCTTAAAGTTTATCTAAACATATTTCACTGAATGACTGCTGAATTTCCATGAGGAAAAGAGGGGGTGTCTTTGTCCAGGCTGTTTTTATAATCTGTCTACGTCAAGGAAATCAATTTTTAATGTAATGCAAGAAAATAGATTCAAAGTTTGTTTTTTAATTTACATATTATTTTGAGGGTGGGGGGAATCAGAGCTTTTATAAAATTCTCCAAAAGATTTTTCACTCCAAAAAAGATGTTTTTTAAAGAAATCACTGGATTAAATGCAAGGCTGTCCATTTCCACTGCCCTATGTGGAGGCTTGCCGGAACCCTATTCTGCAGTGGGGTCTCAGAGGCTGAGGGGGCTCTGGCGAGGGGCCTTGGGAGACAGCAGGCCCACGCTGGCCCCCTCGGGCCCAGGAAAGGTGGTCCACGGAGCACCAGGTCACCCTCTCTGCAGAGAGGCACCAACCACGACATCCCGCCTCCTCAGAGGCCGCCATTCAGTCCCTCCTCTTCAAGGGACCAGCTGCAAGTCCATCAACAAATCCACCTCCCTCGCTCTCGTCCCCATGGTTTTCAAGTTGAGACGTGAGAAGTCGTTCCAAAGCCAACTTAAAACCGAGCCTCATTAGTTCTTATTTTACGTTAGATGTTAATGTCACCAGGGATATTCTGTTCTTTAGAAGTGTATCTGTGGGAGGGCTGTGGTTAGGCTCTACCCAGGAGGCACACGGCCCCCTCTCACCCCTCACATGCTGAGCTCGAGGGGGCGGTCCTGGAGAGTACCCCAGACCTGGGTTAGAGCCTCCCGGATTGGACAGACGGGCCGAGCACGTGAGAACAAGGGACCTGGCGCGTCCACGGCACACTCCACTGACTCTTTCATCGGAGGCTGGTCAGGGCTGAGGCCAGAGAGGCAGGCAGCATCCCTTTTCTCCCACCGCGGGTGTAAAACCCGTGAGGGGGATGGGGCAGGAAGGAGGTGGGAGAGGAGGGCGCCAGGTCCACGATGCACTGAGGACACCCACACATGCTAAGGTGGAGGGCTCGGTCCTCCAGGCCGAGGAGGACGTGGACTGCACACCGCAGCTGTCTCCGCCGTGGATGGGTTCCCGTTCATCACGCCTGCAGGTGACATTTTGTGACACCAGCCGCTCATTGGCTTGGACGCAGGAAAAGAGGTGGCTGTTCCTCTTAACTCTGTGACGGTGGTGTGCCGTCGGCTGACCCAGTCCTCCGCAGGGGGAGCAGCAGGGCGACGTTTGAACCCTGCTTACCCTCCTAAATTGGCTGATGTCCTCAGAAGCTTGTGGAGTCAGCGTGGGCTTCCCATGAATATCCTTTTGAGAACTTGTCCTCCTTCTGCACACTGTTATTTCCACCAACGTTGGAGAAGCCTGCTCCGGCCAGGCTGTGCCGGACTCCCGGGCCACAGAGCCTGCTGGCGTCTCTGCCCCCACCTCCAGGACCACGCCCAGCACTGCTGGGAGAGGCAGTCGAGGTCAGTCCTCCTTTAGAGAACAAGCCACGGAAAACACAAGGAGGCATTGCATGGCTGCCCTGGGCCGTGGGGACGCCTGGAGGGAAGCAGGGCTTCCTTGGCCTACCGCTCCTGGAGGTTCACTTTGGACACATCGCAGGAATCCTGAGTCTCAAGTCCTTCGACTGAGTGACGTGGAGGCTGGGGTCTACCAGTGGTTATGGAGTTCAGTTGAACAATAGAGCCGTCCCCCTTAAAAACCAAGCCGAAGCTTGTGAGAAATAGTGTCTTGTAAATGAAAAACTCAGAACTGATCTAGTGAAATGGAGAGTAAAGCCCATTGGCCTAAATCTCACCTTCCCTCCTTCCTTTCCTTCTTCTCTCCTTCCTTCCCTCCTTCCTTCC